CAAGGTGAAAATAAATGACATAGCCTATGTTACTTCAAGGAAGGTTAAGGAAGGCTTCCAGGAGGAGGTGACATGTTAGCCAAGACCTAAAAGATTTGAAGGAGCCCGTCATGGAAAGAAGTGGGAGAAGAGCATTCCAGATAAGAGAACAGCAAGTGCAAAGGCCCTGAGGCTTAAAAGGGAGCATGGGTTACAGGAACGGAAAGACACCAGTGTGGCTAGAGCATAGTGGCTCCCAGGGAGTTTGGAGAGGTGGGAAGGGTCAGATCATACAGGCCTCCTTGTATGCATTTTACAGCCATTAGAAGGTTAACAGGGCAGCGAAATGATCTGAGTTGCATTTAAAAGCTCTTATTGGCTGCCAGGTGAGGACAGATGGAGGAGGCAGGGAGGCTGAGCAGGAGGCTCACGGAGGTGCAGGGACTTCCCAAGGTCACAGAGACCACAAGTAGCAGATAACAGGCTTAAAACCCAGTGCGTGCTGACGCCAAAACCTGTGCTTGAGGAGATCTCCTCCAAATACAGGGGTGACAAGCAAGGACAACAGGGAAGCCAGAACCCACAGGTCCTTTGGAGAGGGCGACCAATACAGTCAGGGACAGAGACACCCCCCCCCCAGGAGAGTGGCCCTTTGCACCTGGGCCATTTGCTTCTCCTCTGGGTCAGCAGGGAGCAGTGGTGAGGCAGGTGGGATACCCAAACCCAGGCAGGCTGGACAGGGCTTAATGAGAGAAGGCAGTGGGACCACAATAGGCTTTGGAGCCAAGGCAAGGCTGGAATGGATCAGAGGGGCTCACTCACATCTTTTTTTCCTTTTTTGTCCTGCTTCCTCCAGCATCTCCACACTCTCGCTGATTATTTCTTCCAATTCTATGTGGTCGACTTTGGAAAAAAACCAAAGACACCAACACGCACAGTCAGTGGGCACCCAAGGTAAACCTCCATTGTCCCCATGTTGGAAAGGGACCTGACCACCCCCATCGAAGGGTGGCAGTCCAGAATTACAGTGCTCCCCATGGAACAAGGAAGGAAATGCAGGCTGAGCCAAGAGCCCCCCAACTTACTGAAAATGTCTTTGCTCAGGCCCTCGAACTGGGAGTCCTGGAACACGTACTGGTCCAGTTCGGCTGCCCAGAAAAGGAAACGTGCAGTCAATCAACGAGTTCTCACTGAATCCCTATTGTGTGCCAGGCCTTGGGAGCGATGACCCTCTAGGCCTTGCTTACAACAGGGCTCAATAAATATTTGCTGAATGAATGATCAAATTGATGAAGGAACATTGAGCCTTCATGGGCTCTTAATCTAATTGAAGGGATGAGGTATGTATCCTTGAAAACTTATCTATTTCTGCAAAGCAGTGCAATGCAGCGTGGTTGAGTTGTCATGGGGACTTGAGTTTAAATTCCAGCTCTACCCTCCACTAGCTCTATCAGCTGTGCAACCTTGAGCCAGTTACTTAACCTCTCTGGGTCCCCATTTCCTCATCTGTGTAAGGAATGCCTACAACCCGGGAATGGATGGTGAGGATTAGAAGCTCTGCATTTAAAGCATCCAACACAGTAGTTGGTACACAGTAGGCATTCAATAAATAGTGGTTAATTATATAAAGCAGAACATGGCTTGGAACCAATGGGATGACAGTTATTCATGGCAGGAGGTCGGAGGAGAGAGTGTATAGTGGGATGGAGCAGTCAGGGAGGGCTTCCCAGAGGAAGGGATCCTGGAGCCAGGCCTTGAAAGATGGGGCAGAGCCTGAGAGGTGGAAAGTGGAGGGCTTTCAGGGTAGTGGGGATGGAGTGAGGAAAGGTGTTTGGGATATGTATGGTAAACTCTGAGACAGAGGTGTCTGCAGTAGGAGTTTCATGGTGGAGGAAGTTAGGACTTGGTTTTATAGGTAATGGGGAGCCATAGCAGGCTTCTAAGCTGAGAAATGGAGTGAGGGCAGCTATGATGAGGCTGATGATAGTGACAGTGATGATTGTAGCGGTGAGGTGGTGCCTAATACTTACTGAATGCTTACTCTTTGCAAATTCCTTTTCTAACTCTAATACTTTACACACAGAAACGTATTCAATCCTCACACCCACCCCAAGAGGCAAGAGTGGCTGTTATTCCCATGTTACACATACGGAAGCCAACATAATATTTCAGGATGCCTCAGTGGCTGCACCCCCAGGCCAGGGGGTGGCCTTCTGGGAGCACAGAGAAAACCCAGGGACTTGAGGCGCACATGTAGGTGAAGCTGCCTCCTCCACTTTCTTCAGCAGCTGCATTTCCTGTATAGATGTCCCTCAGGGGAAAAGCCCAATCCTAAGCGATGCCCAAATCCTTTATGACTGCCTCCAGGTGTGAGGAAATGTGGGGGCCCTCAGCCCCAAACACTTCTGCTTCTCTCACGCACATTCCCGGGAAGGTCAGGAAGCAGGCAGGCTCTCAGTTCTGTAATTTCGAGACACACACAGCAACTGCTTCTCTCCACTTTCTGCCCTTGTGTGATGCTGGCTTAACTGTGCACTGGGGAAAGACTTGGCCACACGTGTGCCGAGCACAGACCTCCTAAGTGATTTGGTTATTGGGTTGCCGGGAAAAAGGCCACTCAGAACAGTAGTACAAGTTGTTCACTGTACAAGGGAGTCCAGCTAATGGGGCAAATGCGGGCAGGAAATTCAGCCTGCACTTTGATAGCCAAGCTGTTACTTCCTGGTGGGGGGCTGCATCCTTCAGAAGAGGCATCTTTTTGTAATATAACAAAACCTCTCTATGAGATAGCGGTGACCCTAGTGAGCGGTGATCCTTCGCTCCACCCCCACCTCTCAAAAAACAACAGTGGAAATACCTCTCCCCAAAGAGTTCTGCCTTTCTCTAGAAGTTATAGCTCTTTTTAAAGCTGCAAACCAGCCACTCGGCTTAAGCCTTCGTAAACTTCCCCCACGCCAGGTACTTCCCGTTTTTTGTGGTTAAAAATAGGACTTTGAAATGAGAAAGACTAGGTTAGAATTTCAGACCTGACAGTTACTATCGCTAATGCAGCCTTGGGTGGATGGCTTCACCTCTCTGAACCTCAGTTTTGTTATCTGTAAAATAGAGAAACTAACAGTATCAACTTCCTTTGTTGTGAGGATTCAAGGTGAGAGAGAACACACATCTGGCGAGGAGCATACAACCGTACAGATTCTAGTTTGGCTTAAGAGGTGGGGAAAAAGAGAGAAAGGGCGTGTGGTACGGGCTTTGTGGGAAGGAAGGGAAGAAGAGAAAGAAATAGGAAAAAAGGTATAGGGATGGGGACAGGATGTAAAAGTGAAATTTTGTTTGCCTGCGGGTCATTAGTGAATAGTGAAGGGGTCTGTTCCCCTCGCTATTCTCCACCGCCCTTGTTCCCTGGGGTCTCTGTTCGTTTAGCCCTCACCCCACCCTGGTGAGGGGCCCGGTGTGGCTCACAGTGAATGGATGAGATTAATAAAAGAGAAAAAAGAACGTTTCCCCTCAATGGACGTTTTTCCGGGGTCAGGGTATTTCCTCACCGATATTGGCATAGGCGTCCCTGGTCTCTTCATCATCATTTATGTCACACAGCAGCCTGCTGAACTGTTCATAGTTGATGGTGTCTGTGTCGGGTTCTGTGGGGGGGAAAGCCCCTTGAATGAAGCGGGAAAGGCCTATCTGGGAAGAGGGCTGGTGGGGAAGGCAGGAGAGGCGGGGTTGGGCTGGGAGACGTCCCCGTCGAGAGGAGCATCAAGCCGGCGCAGGAGCTGTCCGTGGTGCTGACCTGAGCTCAGGGGCCAGCACTTCCCCTGGCTGAGGCCGGTCTCCACTGCAGGCTGAGGGGTGGGAAAGGGCTTGGGAGGGGCCCGAGGGAGGACCGTCCACCTGAGCAGAGTTCGCTCTCTTCCCCAGCCGGGTCCATCTGGTCATAGTAGAGGTAGATCTGCGAAGGGTCAGCATTGCTGTTAAGAAGCTCCAGGTAACTGCCTTCCAGAGGCCCCAACTCCATGGCGGCACACTGTTCACTGCCTGGAAGGGAGACATACTTGGTCATCTCATGGGATGTTGAAACGATGCAGAGAACTACCACAGTTCCCAGCTGGGTCACTCGGTGAAGGCCAGGGTTAGGGAGAGCCAAAGAAAGTGAGAAAAGTACTCATTTAGCACTTTTCCCAGGGCAGTGGGGAGAAGAAACGACATTCCCTTTCTCCAAGAAACTTACAGTCACACTGGGAAGATGCCCATCATACAAGAGGTGGAGCTGGGGAACTGTAGTCATGTTACACCTGTGAGCTAGGAGACCTGAGCTCCACATCTCGTGCTGCCATGAATGATGACAGTTAAGACTGGCAGAGCACCTACTATGTGCCAGACACATGGGATAGCACATTTAATTCTCACAACAACAGCCATATGAGGTAGGTACTATTACTATCCTCAATTTACACATGCATCAGCGACTTACGTAAGGGTAACCCAAGGTCCAAGGGGAACAAGGGTTTGGTACTGGGCCGTTGGACTCACGGGCCTGCATTTAACTGTTATGCTCTACTGCTGTGGGTGACCTTGAGCAAGCCTCTGCTCCTCCCTCTCTGTAAGATCCCTCATTATCATTTGTTGAAGGATATATTAGATCCCTTAGATGATACTTCATTTAACCTCCAAGACAACCCTGGACGCGTCCACACAAAAACTTGCATGCAACACAGAATGGTACAGATGTATAATTCCTAACAGCCAAACTATGGAAGCAACTCAAACATCCATCAATCAATGAATGGAGAAACAGAATGTGGAAAACCCATACCATGAAATGTTCTTCAGCCATAAAAAGAAAGAAAGTACTGACATATGCTACCACGTGGATTAAACTTGAAAACAACTAATGCAAGGAAAAGAAGGCAGACACAAAGGGCCACTTACAGTATAATTCCATTCATATGAACCGTGTAGAATAGGCAAATCTTTAGAGGCAGATAGTAGATTAGTGGCTGGGTAGGGTTGGGGGAGAGTGTGGGGAGAAATGGGGAGCAACCGCTACTGGGTATGGGGTTTCTTTTGGGGGAGATGATGAAAATGTTCTAACGTTGACTGTGGGGATAGTTGTACAACTGTGTGACTATACTTAAAAGACCATTGGATTGTACACTTTAAATGGGTGAATTGTATGATGTGTGAATTATATCCCAAGAAAGCTTTTATTTATTTATTTATTTATTTTTAAA